GTGTGTGTGTGTGTGTGTGTATATATATATATATATATATATATATATATATTCGTGTCTTGTATGTACCGCCAAACGGCGAGGCCACGATAGTCTGTCTTACCTGTGTTCTGTGCATCAACTGTGAACGGTATCTCTACGTCCTGGAAACACTGGTGTGCTCTTGGCCACAGACGGTAGTGGTAGGTAAACCCCTCCGGACTGCGCTCGCGAATCTTGGTGTAACATTTGATCTATAGACGGAACAGAAACCAATGGGATATAGTATGAGTGAGCAATGTGTGGTGGTAGGTGGTAGGTGGTAGGTAAACCCCTCAGACCGAGCTGCTCGCGGATCTTGATGTAGCATTTGACCTCTAGGTAACATGGAGAGGGAATGAGATATGTTGGGTGCCAGATGTGTAGTGGTAACCCCTCCCCCCCAGACTGCGTTCGAGTATCTTGGTGTAGCAAGTGATCTATGAATCGAACAGAAAGAGGTGGGATATACAATCAGAGTAATAATTTGGTGTGGTAGATAAATCGCTCGGAACTGCGCACGCGTACTTGGGTATATCATTTGAATTATAATTAGAATTGTAAATAATTAGATTCGGACTGAATGAATGATGTAGTAGCACATAAACTTCTCCGGCCTGCGCTCGTGTATCTTGGTATAGTATTTGATCTATAAATAGAAAGGTGAGCACATATTCGCATTGGCTGGTTGACATAGCCGGTAACCTTAGCTGATATCTTTGGGCTGTTTGATCATACAAAAGAACTCATCCAAGTTGTTACCTACTTCTATATTGTTATCTAGGGGATCGTATGACAGCACATGGTAGCGGTGTCCCCAACTGAGCATGTACTCTTCGACCCGCTCATTTTGCTTGCTGTTTAGCGATCCACCCCCGGCCACGGTGCCTGTGGGCTTTGATTTGGGCTTTAGAAAGATCGAAAGTGTACGTAAAATGAGAGTTTTGATCCGGGCTTAAGATAGATCTTGTGGTGTAGGTATGCTGAAGGCTTGAATTTGGGATATAACATAGATCGCGTGTGTAGGTATGAATGAGATGATGACATTGCATATTGTCGAACTCTGTCAGATTCTGGTTGTGATTAAACTTACAATACATAACGACACACATCGGAACTACCACGATATCCAATACAATCTTCGTTACCTCCTAATGCAGTCACAACTGGCCACAAAAATCGAAATATCTGTACTATTTGGTGTGCTGAACCCATCTCTCTGACACTTGTTTTTATTCTGAAGCATATCTGGATCTGCCAAAATCTGGCATGAACCAAAATCAGGCAAACGAAAAACCTCAATCAGGCATGAACCCAGGTATCATTCCGCACACTCTGGTTTCTTTTCCGCACGCTTTGATTATGATTAGTATGCACCAATATCTGCCATAATTGTCCATCGCGTGCTGCTAAGTCGACTTGTATATTGAATGGCCGATTTTTGTCACGTACTTACTTGTTCCCTTTTTGCACTATTTGAAACCCCTGTGCCATTTCCTGCAACACCAATTACCTAGTACTATAATCTCGAACTATATATAGCACGGCCTAAATTACTCAATCCAAAATGACAGTTGCAGCACACCTTTTGCACTATTCGCAATCCCTGGGCCAAGCTCTGCAACACCAATTACCTAGTACTATTATCTCGAACCATATATAGCGCGACCTAAACTATTCAATCCAAAATGACAGTTACAGCACACCTTTTGCACTATTCGCAATCCCTGGGCCAATCTCTGCAACACCAATTACCTAGTACTATTATCTCGAACCATATTTAGCGCGACCTAAACTATTCAATCCAAAATGACAGTTACAGCACACCTTTTGCACTATTTGGAATCCCTGGGCCAGTCTCTGCGACACCAATTCTCTGAGAACTTTTCGGCTGTTGGTTCCTATGTCACTGCCCCCACTCTCGTCATCATCGTCATTCACAGTCACGACATAGGGCTTGACCCGGAACTGGATAGACAACTGCGAGGAGGGAGGGAGTTGTATATTTAGATGTCTAAAAATAGATACAGAGAACAGTAAGTATTACTTGGGACGACATCATTAAAATATATTACAGAGTGCTTGACCCGAAACTGGATGGACAACTGCAATGAGAATGAGAGTTCTATATTTAGTTGTCTGAAAATTGATATCTACAAAGGACAGTACTTATTTACATAATACAGGATGCCTGACCCAAAAATGTATGAAAATTTGCATTGAAGAAAAGTATTCTAAAAAAGATGTCTAAAATAGAACACTGAGGTAGCTATTGTCGTCATCATTGTAGTTCAGACACTAACTTGACCTCGAACAAAATGGAGAACTGCAACGAGGAAAATGTTTTATATATATACAC